GATTGAGCAGGAGCTCCAACTGACGAGCTAAGGGCTGAAATTGGAAAGGTTGAATGATCTGCAGGCAAATTGGACTTAGAGACAAAGGGAATGGCTGGAATTTGGAGTTGGTAAAGACCATCTTTAAGCTTTCCTTGAAGAAAAACAGCTTGGGACTGTTTGTCCTTAACAATACAGTGATCAGCAGAAAACTCAACAATAACTTAATTATCTTTAGTAAATTTTGATATACTTAAGAGATTTTTTCTAATTTGAGAAACACATAAAACATACTTAAGGTAAAGAGACCTAGATTGACATGGTAATGAAGTAAAACCAGTATGTGATATAGAGAGTAACTCACCGTTTCCAACCTGAATTTGCTCATTACCAGTGTAGCTTGAGTTTACTGCAAGTTGAGATAGGTCTGAAGTCACATGATCTATGGCTCCAGAATCCATGTACCATGCTGCATCCTGGACAGTAGAAGGTGTAGCAATGTAGTTGGCAACAGGATTGGAGTAATTTGATGGCTGAGTCTGGGACAGATATACTTGATTAGGAGCAGCAATTGTGGCTGATTGAGGGCCAGAATTTGTGTGTGATTAGCCTGAGCTTTGATTAGATCCTGATGGAAAGATAGCACTGAGGTTTTGGGCTCCTAAGCTTGGATAGGACAATGTGAAAATCCAACTAGTTGTTGACTTATGTTGAGGTGATAAGGTTAGTGACTTATGTTGGGGTCATAAGAAGGTTGAGGTGAACTCTAAGTGAAATATGGTAAGTTCTAAAACCCAACTTGAGCTCTAGAGTAACTGTTATCAAAATTTGGTGATGGTATGACTAGTGAAGTATTTCTTCCAGTGTAGCTTATGTCAAACTGATGATAACAATTTGGTGCAAGGTGTCCACTTTTTCCACAAACTTGACATATAACTCTGCCTCTTCCAGCTCCTCTGCTTCTTCCCATAACACCAGTGAATTGTGAGGGATAAAAGTGATTCTATGATGTTGAGTTCACAGACTGATTGAAATCAGTACCAAGTTGATGAGCTTGCAAATTGTGGAAGGAGAGATTAGGGTTCTGTATAGGTGAAAACTGATGTTGTCTAGTATTAGGTGAGGATTGTTCACTCTGATATTTTGTTTGAGTTGTATCAGTAGTGAGATTAGCAAGGTGGATTGAGCCTCCATGAAACTCAGTGCTGACAACAGAATTTGCAACTAGATTTGCTCTTTCTAACCTGAGCTCATATTTTTGCAAAATAATATTTGCTTCCTAATAGAAATAGGATATATCCTAGACTCCAATCTTGTAGCAATATTTACTACAGTAGCATCATACTCAGAACTTAAACCATCAAGAATGTAGTTCATTAATTCTGCATCAGAAATTAAAATTCCACTAGCTAACAATGTTTCAGCAAATCCTTTCATCTTTACAAAATATTCATGGATACTAAGATTATCTTTCTTAGTGTTTTGTAGCAAACTCTTAATGTGCACAGTTTTAGTTCTAGATTCCGTAAGAAACTCTTTTTCTAGTGCAATCCACATAACAGCAGAAAATTGACACTTAGACACTACAAAGAACATAGATTCTGATATAGATCCAAGAATCCAACTTACTAATAGCTTGTCTGTCTTCTTCCATTGATTATATGCTGGGTTAGACTTCTTCTCTGTCGAACCCTCAATGCCTTCAGTTGGCACTTTAACGAATGGTACTGGACATGAAACCAGTTCAGTAAGGTGCTCCTCTAAGTCATGGGAGCCCACAGCAAATAGAACTTGTGATTTCCAGAATCTATAATTATCCCTAATTAATTTGGGGGAAATTACAGGAAGAGAAGAAGAAGACATTGATGAAGCGTTTGTGGAATTAACGAGCTCAATAATAGATTTGAGATCTGATTTATTTTGGTTAAAGGAGAATTGAGTAGGATCAGCCATCTTTGACGTTAGTCGACAGCTCTGATACCATGAGAGTTTTGAGAGAAAAATACAGAGAAAAGTAAAGAGAAGGTTCTAAAAAATTTCACGCTTTTTACTACTTTTATTTGTACAGTAAAATGCACTTTTTATAGTGCTCATAACAGTAGCTAACTAACACATAACAATAGCTAACTAACCCAGTCTATAGGTTACTTAACTAACCATTTTCTAACTCTTACTAACACACACTAAGGTAAAAGAAGAATTAGACCAATAGAGACATTTAGGCTTCTTAGAAATTTTGATCTCTACCCTAAAATTGATATATCATTTTCTTTATATATGTAGCCTTGTAAACAATTCAATAATTGTTTTGGACTTCCTTAAACAATTCAATAATTGTTTTGGACTTCCTTAAACAATTCCATAATTGTTTTGGAGTTGGAAATAATTCCATAATTATTATGAAGTTGCTAAACTTCTCTAAATAATAACATTGGATTAACATTTAATCACAATTAATAGTTTAACTCTTAAATTATTTACATAACAATTTAACTCTTAAATTATTTACATAACAATTTAACTCTTAAATTATTCACATAACAATTTAACTCTTAAATTGTTCATATGTTTACAATTACAACCCATTATTAAATCCAATTTAATATAAAGAAAATGATTAATTATGAATTGGAAATCCATTTAATTCCAATTAGCAATTTAACTCTTAAATTATTCATAATAACTAATATAACCCTCTATTAAATCTAATTCAATGATAATAATATAAATAACTTTATTACTCTTGGTAGGTGCTAGCCAACCTTGGATAATCAATTTTCTTTGGCTATTTCTCCATTCTCCTTAGTTTTTATGTGTGACCTCTTAGGTTCACTGTGGCCTAGCCGTGGGCCCAATATCATAGTCTATTTCAATATGTTTTGTCATAAATCTTTATGAACAAAACTCCCACCGAGTATGATAGGCATCTAGCAATGCTCCATAACCCCTAAATCAAATGAAGATATACTCAAACGAACTCTTTTATAATCATACGCGATGTATAATCAAATCATTTCGTTGTCTAATCCCAATTAAGAATAGATTCATGGTATGCCAAAATCCTTATCTTAATTTTATATCAAATTAACAATCAATACATATGGAACGTGTCATCATGAAACAACCTTTCAAGTAACATTTTATATACCCTGGCCGGAGATTTCCCTTTTCCAATGTATATTGACATTTGTCTAGGAACTTGATATCAATCTATACCAAGTCAATGGATCTCATCTTGACTATCACTTGTCCTCACACATAAACAACACATGGCCAAATCGGCTTATTAACACATAACATGATTAGCCTCGTGTTTATACACCATATGAATCATATGTGTTTATGCAAAATCCAACCATGATATCTCTGGTCTAAGGATTAATAATACACTAGTATGATCTTATGATAAATCATTTACTACATTTTAAATGTCCACGTGATTCATCATAAATGACCATCTTCAATAAATAATTCACTAACCGCTTATCCATGCTAATGCCCTAGTGATATAACTTTTATAATCACTCATACTAATACCATCACATGATATTCTACGGAGGCATTCAGCATGCCTACTATGTAATATTATTGCCTAATTAATATTACCTATGTAGGGAATACTTTGATGATTTTGATCTTCTAAAGATTTGTATTATCCTGACATTTCACATGTAATACATATATATATAAATGAAGCAATAAACCACATGTGAAATAAGAACACTTTTTTCATTAATAAGATAAAATGTATATAGAAAATATATATATTAACATATATATACAAAACATAATGCCTTGGAACTAACGACACGATTGGTTCTTAAGGCATACACTAACATGACCTTCTGTTTAAAGATTATATGTCTTTATATATTTTTCTTTTGCTGGTTCGCACTTGAAAAATAATATCATGTACAAACCGGAAAAGAAAACTTTTGCTTGTTCCTTTTATTTTTATAATAAGTAACCAACTACTATCCGACTGGTATATAGTAATTTATTATCTCAAACAACAACCGTTGAGTGTTTGGTAAAAGGAATGCTTAATTGTTCTTATAGGCGGGGTGAGCGATTCTGGGTACCCTAAATTTTTTGAAGGAATCGAAATCGGTCAGTTCCTAAGATTTGGAACCGGAGCTGGAAACATATGTTCCAAGTTTCGGGTACCCATGTTAATTTCAATTATCCCCCTATTTAAAAAAATTAACAAAACACCCCCAACAGTTTACAAAAATTACAATTCAATTCTGGTTCTGGTTCCCGAATCTAGCACTATAGAAACTGGAATTGGACCTAGGAATTCCTAGTTCCAATTTTTCTGAACCGGAACCGGACCCTAATTATTCTCACCCTTCTTAAGATTGACCAAAACCCATGCGATAATTGCTCTTAAAATTATAAAGTATGAAGATCATAAACCCATTGCTATAAATTAATAATGATGCCATTCATAAGTAAACACATGCGTTGGTTTGTCAATGATTGTATGGAGCTTGAATGGTATCATTATTAATTTAATGTTCAGGTATCTCGATCATACAAGACAAACAATTTGATGTCATTTTCTTGAGTTTATTTTATGATATCATATCTTGAAAAATGTCACCAATGTATAAAAGCATCTGGTTGGGGTTTATCAGGAAACAACATCCCATCTGTATAGATTGGAAGGCCTTCGATCTCTTTAAGGTGGAGGACGATGGTTAGGCCGACGGCATCAGAATGAGCATTGAAGCCAATGACAAGTTCAGGTTGTGGACATGGAGTATATAGTAGTTCATCCACATTGATATTTTTGCATAGTTACTTTTAACTTGACCTCTTGAGTTGATGTTGCTTCATATACTTTTCTAATTTCTACATGTCAGGTTTTGAGACAATAGTAATGCAGCCGATGGTTGCTACAATGATTATGCTCTGTTTCAACATAAAGTGCCAATGAGATTTATGGATTATAATGACATTTACTGAAAATTAGAGATCTGAAATCAACTGGTGTGAAACTTTGTTTAAATCTCAAATGGGTCTGTCCATAACAAACCAGCTTGAATTACACACTCAGCTACAATGAGATGATGTAGCATCAAACAGATGACCGATCATTTATTCACCAGCTTCTATAAATAAACTAAACATTAGGTTTTCCACATTGCTCACTCAACCACTCTCGTCCTCATCTTTAATCCTCAAGACATCAAGGTATGATTTTCCCTACAGTTCACGGGACAAGAATCCCTTGTAGTAGTCTGCAACACTTATTCTCTTAAACAATGCCGGATTCTCTGGTGTTATAAGGCTCGGCGCTGGACCCATATCGCGGTTTGCATTTGGGCTATAGAATGTGGCAATTGAGATCCTTTCTTTCATAGAGTTTACAGTGGCTCGATGCTTTATACCAGGGTAAGTTCCATTGGTTACAATCTGTAAAATCCAAAACTCTAATTAAACACATCTAAGTTATGCTCTTCATCTTTCTTGTCTCTTTGTATATATACGAAAATTCTCTAGTTAGGATTACCCTATATTATTATATTAGGTGCTTAAATACAAATACATCCACTAATTGGATTGAAATGATAGTTTACATATGAATATCTAACCATCGATATGTTAAAAAGTTAACACATTTATCCCCCTGATGTATTATACAATACAGAAATCCCCTTGAGGTTTCCAAAATAACAGAAATTCAACTACTGTTAAGCTGTAGGTGTTAAATTATAAGAACAAGAGGATTTAACGGTTATGAGAATATTTATTAACTCATAACAGTATAAATTTTAATGATTTACTAACAGTTCATTAATGATAAGGGAATTTCTGTTATTTCGAAAATCTTACGGAGATTTTTATTATTGTATCATACCGACGGAGATATTAATGTCATTAACTCTATTTTAAACTCACAGCAAACCAAACCTCTCCCATCTTGCTATGAATAGTATTTCTTTGTGATGAGCATTACCTCTAAAACGTTTCCAATGTTGATGATAAAAGCACTTGGTAGGGGTTTAACAGGAACCCACATCTCATTTTTCCGGATTTGAAGGCCATCCATCTCATTGAGCTGGAAGAGGATGGTAAGGCCGCCGCCGTCGGAGTGAGCGTTGATGCCAACAGCGAGCTCTGGCTGTGGACATGGAGGATAGTAGTTCAATCTTATTCCCCACCTCGCCTCTTCAAACAATTCTTTCATATAATCATCTTCCATTCTCAGAGCTTTTCCCATTTGGTTCAGGATTATAATGGCAAGATCTTTTAGTTCCAGTGAGTAAGCTTCCAATGTTTCTCTACATGTTAAAAAAAGATAAATAAAAAAGTAAAGACTAGTCTTTAAAAGGATTAGAACTATTGAATACCTAATGTAAGATATAAATTATAATCTGAATAGCTTTTAAACTGTAACTAATTCAAACATCGATATCAGAAACATCACTATAATACTATATGATCACGAGCATAGCTGGAGAATCTTGACAATGAAAATAATTTGACAGAAAACAGAGAACCTGAAAGGGAGAGGGAGCTTGGGAATTAGGTGTGGCTTCCTCAAACGAAATGGAAGGCTGGTCACAAAGAACATGTCTGCCCAGTCAAGCTTTTGCTCCTCGGACATAACAAACGCCTCCCCAAATCCTTCAACATCTCCTGCTTTTTGCCAATACTTCTTCTTCTCCTCCATTGGCAGATTGAAAAACTCCTGAGTCTCTATCTTCACTTTCTCCACCAGTGAACTGCTCACCCCATGATTTATCAACTGCAAAACATTTCCACTCTTACAACAAAATTTTACACGACGCATCATATATAGTATATATTAATTTGATCCTTCTACTGATACCTGAAAGAAACCCCATTCTTTGCAAGCACGATGAAGCTTGTCTAATTCTGAATCCGTCAAGTCTCCAGAAAGTAACTTTTTCAAGTCAATAACGGGCACTTGTGGCAACGAGTGGCATTGGATACGAAAGGAGGATCTTGATGAGGATGGACATATCGCGGTGGAATAGTCGTGAGCGGCTCCTTCACCAGCTCCTGAACGGAAGGAACAGGGAGAGAGCTCCACATCTTTGTCTCTGTTGATAATTGATCCTTCTGAGAGTCCTAGGATCAATTCAAAGAAGAAGCAGAAAGTTGTGAAACTTTCAAAGGAAACAAACATAACAAGTAATAGAAAACTAGAACTTTCAGAGAGAAACAGACAGGCACAAAGCTCACAAGGAAGGAGGAAATAGAAGAGGAATTCACAAATCAAAATTCTTATTTATGAGTTAAGTATAGCTTGAGTGTATGGCTGTATATATTCACATTCATTGTACGTTTTACACACTAAAAGACATACATACGTTTTACACACCAAAAGACACACAAACGTTTTACAACCAAAGGGTACACATTTCGGTTTCTCCTGTTTTTTGGTTTTCACTAAATTGTCAATAGTAAATTTACTCCTGTTTTTTGGTTTTCACTAACTTACTCAATAAAAATCCAATTGATGAGCGGTTTGAAGGTTTAGAAACTAGACAGTCAGGGTTGTACATTGATATATTATAAGCTGAATCTGGATAACTGTAACCTCTTCAAATTCTTGTTGAAATTTACCATTCTGCAATAAAGTCAAGTTTAATTTCAATGCCCCCTTAAACTTGACATCTTTCCAACACCAATCATCATTCTCAATTTCTGAAAAGTATCATATTTGAGAGATTTTGTGAAAATGTCAATAACTTGATCAAGTGGTCTATATTTGGGCTGTAGAATGTGGCAATTGAGAGCCCTTCTTTCATAGAGTTTACAGTTGTTCAATGCTCAATACTAGGTACTTAAATGCCATTGGTTACAACTAATCTGCAAAATCACAACACAAATTAAACAATATCTAGTTATCCCTTCATCTGTTGTGTCTTTAATTTTTTTTTTTTTTTTTTTTTTTGTAAACTTACAAATCGAAACCAAACCTCTTCCCATCTCTATGAACATAGGATTTAACTTTAAGATCATGCGAGTCTTTTGTGATGAGCATTACCTCTAAAATGTTTCCATTGTTGATGATAAAAGCACCTGGTATGTGTTTAACAGGAACCCACATCTCATTTTTCTTGATTTGAAGGCCTTCCACCTCATTGAGCTAGAGCAAGATTGTTATTGTAAGGCCATTGCCGTCGGAATGAGGATTGATGCCAATAGCAAGTTCTAATTGTGGACATGGAGAATAGTAGTTCATCCTCTTTGATTTGCACTCTTCTTCAAACAATTCTTTCATATAACCAGCTTCCATTCTCAAAGCTTTTGCCATTTGGTTCAGGATTTTCATGGTAAGTGTCATATTGTGAAAGAAAGGCAAAAGAGGTAGAGAGTAAAGAGAAGCCAAAGTATGCCAAGAGAAAGAAGAGAGAAGATAAACTTCTGTATATATTTGTATTGTATTGTTTACATGTAATCTGTCCTATTTATACAGAAAATGTAAATACCAGTATGACAAATAATATTTGTAATGAATGTACAATCACCCATAATTAGGAAACGATTTTACAAGAATCAAGCCTCAATAACATCATCATAATGCAAGGCATGATCTCAGCACTAAGATCACGGATGTAATCACTGCATTCCATCACCTCCCCTCAAGCTTGTGGTTTGTTTATGTCAAAAACTCCAAGCTTGCAAAGAAGATATGAGTGTTGTCTACTACACAATGGTTTTGTAAAGATATCAACAGGTTGTTCTGAGGTACGAATGTGTAGAGTCTTGATTATCCCTTCCTGAATCTTTCCCTAGCTGAAGTGACAATGATCTCTATATGTTTTGTTCTCTCATGAAATGCTGGATTTGCTACAATGTCATTTGCAGCCTTGTTATCATAGTATAAGAGAACTGGTTGTTTTACTTGTACCTTTAAATCTCTTAGTAGCCCTAGAATCCTGATGATCTCACATGTAGTCTTAACCATGGCCCTATCGTCAGCCTCTACTGATGAAAGTGACACCTGGACTGTCTTTTTGTTTTCTAGGAGACTAATGCTCCTTCGAGTTTTATACAAAACCCGATGAGTGATTTTCTTGTCATCGGACATCTGGCCCAATCAAAATCGTAGTATGTTGTGATATCTAGACTTCTTTCTCAAGGTAAGAAAAGCCCTAAACTAGGACAACCTTTTAGGTATTTAAGAACCTTTATTGCTATGTCCATGTAAGATTTCTTTGGCCCATGCATGAACTGATTGAGAATATGAATTAAATAACTGATGTCTGGTCATGTCATAGTAAGGTAAATAAGTTACCCTACCAGCCTTGGTTAATATGAAAGATCCTCTAGAGATGGATCATTTTCTGAAGCACCATTATCATACTCTTGAGTGGTAAGCTTGGTATTTTGTTTGACCGAAATGACACTTGGCCTGCATGTTGATAACTTAGAGTCTGATACAAGTTTTAGGACATCCTTCATTGGCTTAGTGAGATGCTTGCTGGAGATCTTGCAATTACTATTCCCAAAAAATATTTTGGCTCACCTAAATCTTTTATTCGAAAGTGCTTATTGAGATGCTCCTTTAAGTTTTTGATGGTTGATTCATTGTTTCTTGTGATTAAGATGTTGTCAACATAAATGATGAGGGCAATGAATGAGTTCCCTTCTTGTCAAGAAAAGAGAGTATAATCATGTTTGGATTGGACAAAGCCTATGCTTGTAAGGGCTTCTATGAATTTCTCATTCCATTGTCTAGATGCTTCTTTTAAACCATAGAGTGACTTACACAGACAACATACTGTGTTCTCCTCCTGTTTACGAAGGCTATGAGGAAGGTCCATATAGATTTCTTCATTGAGATCTTTATGTAGAAAAGCATTGTGTACATCCATTTGATGAAGAGACCAATCTCGAACAGATGCTACTAAAAAAAACCCCTGACAGTTACATGTTTGGCAATAAGTGAGAAAGTTTCTTGATAATCGAAACCTTCCCATTGAGTGAAGTCTTTTGTGACCAATCAAGCTTTGTAGTATTCAATCGAGCCATCGTCATGATGTTTGATTTTGTAGAACCATTTGCAACTAATGGGTTTACAGTATAGTGGTTGAGGTACCAAGTCCCATGTATGATTTTGAGCTAGAGTTGTAAGTTCATCGGCCATAGCTTGCTGCCAATAAGTATGTTGGACCACTTCAGAATAATTGGTAGGTTCTCAATTGGTAGAGATCTGATGAACACATGCTCTGTGTGCAAGATATAGTCAATCATAACTTACATAATTGGAGGTGGGATAAGGAGTATGTGATGAAGCTAACATTGTGGGACAAATATAGTCATATGTCCAGATAGGTGGTCTAGTGCTTCTAGTGGACCTTTGTTGAAGAGGTTTCGGAGTTGGCATAGGTGAATATTTATTTGCTATCTTTGAATTGTCGGTGGACTGAGATATGTATGGTTGTGAAAGATTAGGATCAAGACTTGTAGGTGGTGTCGAATCTTTTGGTGGAAGATTTATGTCAGGGGCTAGTTGCATGATGAAAGTAGGATGTGATGGGCATCATCCTCCAGAAAAGTAGGCTATTGCTCTGAAGTACTAGAACTATCATCAGTTGTAAAAAGAAAATTGTCTTTATGGAATACCACATCCAGAGAAATAAAAAATCTGTTTGTACCAGAATCATATAGTCTGTATCCTTTTTGCAGCATTGGATAACCCATAAATATGCATTGAGTCACGCGGGGACAAAACTTGTCACAAGACCCAATGATAGTAGAGTAGCAGAAACAACCAAAAACACATAGATGATTGTTGTTGGGTGTTTTTCCAAATAGCATCTCATATGGAGTTTTGCCACCAAGAACTCGGGTCGGTATCGGGTTGATCAGGTATGTGGTTGTGATCACACATTTGCCCCAAAATTTCATAAGAATGTAGGCTTGATATTTAACGGCTCAAGCTACTTCTAGAAAGTGTTTATGTTTTCTCTCAACTACCCCATTTTGTTGAGGAGTATATGTGTAGGAACTCTCATGAAGTATCCCAAGGGATAGGAAAAGGGAGGAGCATTGACAAGCATTTTCAGTTCGGACCCTTTGAACTAATGTATGAAACTGAGTGGTTATCATAGAATGGAAATTCTTAATGTAAAGAGTTTGTGTTTTAGACTGCATTAGAAAAACCCATGTTCCCAAGGGAAAAATCATCTACTATAGTAAATAAAAACCTAGATCCATCATGATTAAGGGTGTGGTAAGAGTTAGTAACTGACCAGATTCGCGTAGTGAAAAAACGTAATATTTAAAATGAATTGATCAATTATACAAACCAAGATTCGAGTACAGATTATAACGTTTTCATGCATAAACTAAAACGTAAAATAAAACTGTATGAAAACAAATCCATACAAGATTTAGTTCATACCAATGTTTGGAGGCTCCTCCGAATATCTTTGACTTCAGACACAAATATTATTCACCGACTACTGTTCACCTCCTATTGTTCACCAACTATTCATTGGATATTGTTCACTGACACTATTCACATGATTCTTTGCTAATCGATCCGCTGTAGGATCACACTCACACATGAAGATAATCCGTAAAATCCTTGATTATTTTGCTAAAACAATCAAAGGCTTCAAGAATCAAGAAAGAAGAACAAGAAAAAAATTTCTTCTTCACTCAAGAGTGTAACGTGAGAGAGAGAGAGAGAGAGAGAGTGGCTAGGGTTTTTTATAATTGAATAATACTCTATTGTTTTTATTTTAAGTTGCACTTATATAGTGCAACAATTAAAACCCTATTCCACTTAGGAATAGCCATAGTCTCCAACCCTAGTTCACCCTTGCAACCAAACACACCCTTTATGGTATTTTAATTAATTAATTATTATTATAATTAAAATCAATTAATATATAATAATATATTAACATTTAATTACTAATAATAATAATTCATTTAAATATATACATAGATATATTTAAATAAAATCTCACTAATTTAATTTTAATATTAAAATTAAATACAGGCAACAACCTCAGCAAATTCAATTGCACTGTGAGATTACCAAAATACCCTTTTCTCCTGAAAGACGAAAATACCCTTTTTACAAATTGATTCTTAAATTATCTTCTAAGTATGTACCCGTAGGCTTCTCATCATATCGGCAGTGTGTAGTATCGCGATTAACACCAATTAATCATCTTACTACATACAGACCAAAATTGGCCCCTAGCAAGG